GTTTCATTTGATAGGTAACAGCTTCTTGTACTCTTGATGTTATACTTCTAACTATGTATAACTAAAGTTTTTGTGGTAAGATAGTTATTGTAACTTGGGCCATGCTCTGCTAGCTGAATGCAAAGCAAAAAGATTTGAAAAGCAATTATTACAGTACTTATAATCTACAATGTAAAAAATTAACTGCATGTGACTATTTTATCCTCCTTAAATGTAGTTTGTGTGACTACTGCCCTGAGGGGAATAGTAGAGTCCCTAGTGTATGGCAGTTGGAGCTTCTGGTTTTCTGGACTGAGAGCACAAGATTACTAGACAGGATTTCCTCACTGTGACTCTTTCCACAAAGAGCTGTATATTTATTTCATGGGTTTAGGTATTCTCTAGCAGACCAGTTGGAGCTGTTACAGAGTAGTGGATGAGGCTGCCTTAAATTCAGAAGTCCTGGACACTATGCACCTGCAAACTAATCCTAGAACATGCACAGCAAGACAGCATTATTGTCACCGGTCAGGTAGTTGTATCGGTTCTGCAGTAACAGTGTGCCTGCATAGTAGATAGGGTTTTTTAAAAATGTTTTGTTAACTCCACAGTGTGGTAGAGAGAACTCAGGACACTCCAGAAGGATCTGAGAGTACTGTGTCAGTTTCTACTGTATGTTTGTTTGAGAAAACTGGGATGAAATCTGTTGGCCCTATCTGCATAAAAATTTCAACTTTCTAAATCAGGAGACCTAGCTTACATGCCTCATCTATACATCCTCCCTCCGCAAACTGCGCTTCATCTGATCAGCTGCTCGGTGTGCATTCCCTTCGTTAGCCCTGTACTTTCACGTATGGAGTCAGAAGTGCAATTACACAGATGATGTGATGAGTTTGAAAGCCTTGGGTTGCTCATGCAGAGGCTTTTAGCTTGGTGAGAGATGGTGGCACAAAGCAACACACACGTTCAAAGTTGGTTTTGTGTGCTACGTGTCAGAAACTTCTGCCTTGGGTGTCTGAAAAGCCTACTGTCATCTCAGAGCTGGATTGCTGGAACACTCGGCTGTCTCTGGCCTTGTCATGTAGTTTATTTTCATTTCTTTTGGCACTTTGAGACTTTAAAACTTACTATTTAGTGTTGTATACCTAACACTGGAAGGTTACCGTGCTTTCCAGCACCCTTCTCTTTGTTGAGAAGAGGGAGATGTTGCCCTTGAAGAACTTTCTAAGCTGAACACATAGATGGCTTTGTACTATAGGTACTGCCTTCACTATAATTGGTGTAACTTGTGCAGCAGTTATGAAGTGCCAGCTCATCAGGAGGCACTGATGAGCACATTCAAATAATGCAGAATTATTTGCGGTTTTACATCTCTTTTGGTGTGTGATTTAATTTGAAGTTCTTACTAGACTAATGAATTAAAATACCAACACACTTTATTCTTATCTCCAAATACCAGATAGTAAGAGAGAATCTTTGAATCCAGATGCTTGTCAGATGTTGGTTTGTTCTGATAATGTTGTGCTTGCAGGCTACTCTATCAAAACTTTCACCTTGATTTCTCCCTTTTTGGGGGATGGTGAAAGGGAAGAAAGGTCCAGATACTTTACAAAAAAAACCCCACCACAACCAAAAAACACCACCACCTGAAATAAGGAGGTTTCTTCTATAATGCTATAGATAACTGTCACATTCTAGAACAGAGTATTCTATGCATGTAACTGCTTTATAGTTTCTTCGCTTTTCCGATCTGTCCCTTTTTCAGTTGTTCCAATTTGTAACTGCTGTCACAAATCAGTCCTGTCTCTGTATACAGTTGCAGGGCCAGGAACCTGGGGGTTGTTCTGTAGGAAACTTCAACGTTAACTCACTGGCGCTTTGCTGTAAATGGAGTGTGGAAGTACCTATACTCAGAGAAAGAGTAGTAATTTCTTTCCATCTCTTTCCAGTGGTGAAGATTGGAATCAAATGCAGTCTCAGGAAGAAGATGTGGCAATAACTGAACAGGACCTTGAACTCATTAAAGAAAGAGAAACAGCAATCAGGCAATTAGAGGTGACCAGTAGATCCTGCACAGTTAACAGTATTGGGAGATAAACCAAAGAAGTCGTGCAGTGCTAACTAATGGGATGGGCTGAGGAGATCTGAAGGTGGAGGAACAGAGTTCCTTGTAGAAAGGATTGATGCCAGGATCAATCTCCCTGCTCCTGTTGAAGGAGACTAGGTATATTTTCCTTCGGTGTTGACTAGTGGTCCTTCAGAGATGGTAGGAGCAACTCATGTTACAGTGTTCATCTCAATTCCATACTGTGCTAATTGCTAGTCTGATGAAACAAATCCTCAGTAACGGGAATATTGTAGTTTCCTGTGTTAATCCCAAGTTCCATAGACAGCGGCATCAAGTCACCGCAGTCAGTGAATGATGGTATCTATTCTGACACTTTGAGCAAAGGTCAGAAGAGGCACTAAGAATGAGGATTACAAAAATTGTAACCAATGTTTGTTATAACTTGTTAAACTGTTGTCTTCAGGCAGACATTTTGGATGTCAATCAGATATTTAAGGATTTAGCCATGATGATTCATGACCAAGGAGATATGATTGGTAAGTGTGTTTGGATAATAGGAAGCTGCTTCTTAGTTCAATTACATGTTTTGCCTGCATAGATTAAATTTTTCAGTATTTTGTATAAATGTATTTCTGATTATTTTTTTTAAACACTGAAGCTCTGAAATATTTTACAATGAGTTCTCTTATTTTTTCCATAGATAGCATAGAGGCAAATGTGGAAAGTGCAGAAGTCCATGTGGAAAGAGCGAGTGAGCAGTTACAGAGAGCTGCCTATTATCAGGTAAATTCTGTATGCTTGCATTGTTGTCAATGTACAGTTGAGTACCAACAGAACAGGCATAACAAGGTGCATACTGAAGACTGCAGCACACCAAACAAGTTATTAAAAAGAGCTTGTGCAAATTGGCACACAACTCAAAATTGTGTTGCAAGGAATAGATAAAGCACTTGAGTCAAAAACACGGTATTGAAATTAGCCTTTCACTGCAGAGGATATATAGTCAGTTTGTTCCTTCATGTGGGTGTGCTCAGCAAGTTTCAGTGTTTAGCTGTCTTTGCTGTTCTCAGGAGTTAGCAGAACAATTAAGCAAGAACAAATTCTCATGTTGTATCCATCTTGTAAACATATCAGCCAAGACACTGATGTGCAAAAATCTGTGCCCAGACTAGAGAAACTGGTGACTGGGATTTGCAGCACCCCTCTAACTGCTGAGGTTCTATCCTGTAGTCTGTCCTCTCTGTCCCATCAAATCTCTTGCAGGGGTTCTCACTGCAGTTTATATCTCCTTTGTGTATGATATTCAATGTTTTCTGTAGGTTCCTTTAATCATTATTGTCCCTGTAGGTCCAGGTTCTATGAAGGAATAAGGGTTCTGCTTCAGTCAGTCCCATTCAGAGTTTCACTGCTGGGACTCCTGGCTTCAACACAAGATAAGAAATTGGACTTTTTCAAGCTGTTAAGTGGGGAGGTACTAGAAGGCAATAAAACTCCAGTGGTGGTTAGCGCAAGAGAGGGAAGGTAGCTTTTGCGATCTGGCAGCATTTAGTAGTAGCCTCTCTCTGTGGCATCCTTCACAAGATTTTGAGGTGTGTTATAAATCTAGGTTTGGGACCTATCAGATGGAGAAGGAAGTGGTTATACATAATTATCCTCAAATCCGTAGATACCAAGTTAAACATACTTGGTGTATGTGGACAGACTGTCATTTCCTATGGTGAATAAAGTGATCAGAGCTGTAAAATCCAAGTACAGTAACTGTGTGTTAAATCATTTAAACTGTAGAAATGCAATACTATTTCCACACCAACTCCAAGTGGCCAAGGGGGATTGTATTGGAGAACTGCTTAGCAGTTTTATTAGTCTTACCTGGAAAATCTAAATAGCTAGAGGTGCTTGGCTTTCCTTTGAAGCCAAGGTGTTGGCCATTAGGATGAAAAGCATGTGGTAGGTGTTGTCAAGTTCTCTTTTCTTTGTAGCCAACTTGAAGTAAAGCTTGCATTTTCCTTAAGGAGAACTTGTCACACTTTGACTTAACTGCATCTCTTAGACCACTGTGCTCCTAAAACTAAAAACATTTATCTGTAGGAGCATGCAGTTTAAGAACATGTAAAAGTGTTCAGACTACACTGCTGACTTCTCTTGAATAAGTATGAGTACCAAGTGCTCTAGTTCACCGAAGTCAGTAACATTAAGTGGTAGACTTGCTTTTTCCTCGTCATCTGTTCCTGGTGTCAGTGTTTTGTTTTTTTTTTTTTTCTTTTATTAGAAGAAATCCCGTAAGAAGATCTGTATCCTGATTCTTGGTCTTGCTGTGGCTTCTGTAATCATAGGATTCATTATCTGGCAGACAACAAAATGAAATCTTCACATGGAACCTAGTGTCATTGCTGAGATCTTTTTCCCTCAGAGCGAACAGGCTGACTAGTCTTGGAAATGAATTGACCACCCTGAGAGAGCACAAGCTGGAACTACTTCTAGTAATAGATATTAGCAACTAATGTGCAGATAACTAGTATTTGGAATTAGTGAACCATGGAGACAGTATTTATCAGTTTATATACAAATTATATTGTTTTATGTAACTAAAATCTTGTGGTTTTGCTTTCTGTAATGTATTATTCCCTGTCCCAACTGTATGCTGAAGTGTGATCAATAATTGGAGATGTCTTGTTCTTGACAAGTGGCACAACTTTAACATTTTATATGTATAGGTAACTTTGTTGGACTGGAATAAGAATGGCATTCAAAGAGGGCACAACACCGATTCATATTACCTTAATCCAGCAGTTTCTGAAGTCTCCAGTATCTGCCCCAGGGTTTTATTAGTCTCCAAGCGGCTGTGGTTCTAGATTCTCTTGAAGAGAAAGATGTTGTTACCGATTTGAAAGGCAAGGAGAAGTATGCACAGATGATAGTTGGAACCACTGCGTGCTGGTCAGTTTAGCCTTGAGACTTGTAACTGTGGTGTTTAATTTTTTGAGTGTGGTTGGGGTTGTTTTGGGTTTTTTTTCCCCAAAATGCATCATTTGAGGACAGGATGTTTTTTGACTTACAATCTAACAATGCAACTTCCTTAGAGAAACTAGCTGATTGTTTATTATTGGACAAATCTCTTCCAATGCTGACTCTCAAGCACTAGAAATAAGAGTGTAGCTGCTCACTCCTAATTGTTTTTAGAAGCTTCCAGGAAGAAAATCACTCAAAGATGAGGAAGTGGGCACCTAAGTTTACAAGCTAGCAAGATAGCTGAGTATTAGCTGAAATCTTGCTTCTGAAGAAGTACTCTTAAAGTGTACTTGTAAATGTGTGGCTTGTGAACATCTGGTACTTTCGATTCTCTATGAAACAGAAAGTGTAGAAACTGGCTGAGTGAAGTGCTGGGCTCTTCAGACTGAGGATGTGTGTACAAATGAAAAAGATTGCTGGTTCCAACTGTCTTGCTAGTAGAGCTGGACAGAACATAGCAGCCACTCTTGCTTCGATGTAGCTCTGAACTGACATGCACTGAGGGAACAGTAATCTGTCCAAAGCCCAATGGAGTGCGGTAAATGCAGCATACTGACCCATTTTGTATTTAATCCTTATTCCATGTCTCCTGTATAATAAAGTAAATGTGAAAGCTGGGAGCGTGTTCTCCCAATTGCACAGTGGTTTGCACTATTGCGCCATCATTCCATCAATAAACACTTTTAAAAGCCTCTGTTGGAGCTTCTTTCTCTTGCAGTTTAGCCATTGGCATGGGTATGGTTGCAGTTCCCCCCCATAAGCATGGTAGAAGACTTTATATCAGCAACACTGCTGTTTCTTGCAGCTTTAGTTCTGTGGTCCTTGATTCTTAAGAATAAAACTAGCTGAAAACACTGAATTACATGGGCATACACAAAACTCCTGCGCAGAGCCCTGTACAGTAGCTGATCACAGAAAAGTGAATGTGATGCCCTAGAACTGTGTTGGGTCAACTTTGTTTGCCTGTTGCTAGAACTTGAAAGTCTTTGCTGAGCCTGTATGGTAAAATCTGATGTGAAAGCCAGGGAACTGTGTGTCATTTTGTTCCTTATTTAAAATATTCCTCCTAAACGGTGGAGCCTGCTGCTCGGTGCACTGCCTGCTGCAGGGACAGAGTCCTTTGGATGTCACACCTCTGTAGGGGAGTGAGAGCACTTACCTCCTCGCTGTGCTTAAAACAGAGCCTGGGTGCGTTATTTGTAGGATCCAGCCTGTTTTAGTCCTCTGGGAAGGGGAATTGAGAACACCCGTCCAGCTTGCTGCCCTCGGGATTGTGGTAATTGCTTGACTCCTTTCTCCTCTTTCTTTCCACCGTTGAACTCCGCAGCGGAACTGCTGCAGACACGGGTTTTAACAGCAGTCTTGACTAACATGAGGGATCCCCAGCAGAACTCCCACCGCCGCGGTGCAGCGCTCTGGCACTCGGCGCTCCCGGCTCTCCCGCGTTTTCTACCGCTCCCGTTGCTGGGAGCGCTCCGGGGTGCCGGGCCGTCTGAGCGGGGAGCCGGGCCGTCTG